ATATATATGTACATGCAGTATATATATATGTACCGGCAGTCTTTGATATATATGTACATGCTAGTATATATTTTTAATATATATATTATATGTAAAGGCAGTATATATTATATGCTATATGCAGTATAGATATAATATGTACATGCTGTATATATATATGTAATGCAGTTATAGAATAGGTAATGACAGTATATATATATAGGGACATGAATGTATATATTATTACATGCAAATATAAATATAGGTACATCAGAATATAAATATTGTACATGCAGAATAATATATATGTACATGCAGAATATATATATAGAATTGCAGGAATTATATATATGTAAATGCAGAATTAGAATAGGGCATGCATGAATATATATATATGTAATGCAGAATATATAGATATGTACTGCAGAATATATATATCTGTCATGCAGTATATATGACATGCACTATGTAATTATATGTCACATTGCAGTATATATATATATGTACATGCAGAATATATATCTAGTACATTGCAGTATCATATATATATATGTACATGCACATATTAGATTACATGCAGGATATATATATATGCAGTAGATATATATGCACTTAAATAATATATATATATATATATGTACAGTGCAGTATATATATATGTACATGCAGTATATATATATGTAGCATGCAGTATATTAATATAATTTACATGCAGTATATATATATCTATATATATGTACATGCAGTATATATATATATGTATAATGCAGTATTATATATTATGTACCTGCAGTATATATATAGTTACATGCAGTATATATATATATGTACATGCAGTATATATATATATGTACATGCAGTATATATACTATTCATGCCAGAATATAAATATATGTACATGCCGAATATAATATATGTACATGCAGAATATATATATATGTACATGCGATATATATATATGTACATGCATAATATATATAGTAGTACATGCAGATATATATATATGTACATGCAGAATATATATATATGTACATGGCAGAATATATATATTGTACTGGGGGGCCAGAATATATAATATATGTACAATGCAGTATATATGTACATGCACTATGTATATTATATATGTACATGCATTGATATATATGTACAGCAGTTTTATATATATGTACAGGCATTTATATATATGTACATGCAGTTTATTATATATGTCCATGCAGTATAGATATGTCATGCAGTATATATTATGTGCATGCAGTATATATATATGTACATGCCAGTATATATATATATGTACATGCAGTATATATATATATATATTATATGTACATGCAGTTATATATATATGTATATGCAATATAATATATATATGTACATGCAGTATATATATATTACATGCAGTAATATATATATATGTACATGCAGTATATATATTATATGTACATCAGTATATATATATGTACATTGCGAATATAATATAATGTAACATGCAGAATATCACTATATGTACATGCAGAATATATATATATGTACATGCAGAATATATTATATGTACTCAGCAAAAAAAATATATATATATGGTACATCAGAATATTATAGAGTTACTGCAGAATATATATATATGTACATGCGAATATATATATATGTACATGCAGAATATATATATATGTACATGCAGTATATATTGATTACATGCACTGTATATATATATGTACATGCGTATATATATTATATGTACATCAGAATATATATATTGTACATGCAGTATTTAATATTATATGTACATGCAATATATATATACTGCAGGATCTATATATATGCCAATATATCATATATGCACTAGAATATATATATATAATATTATATGTACATGCAGTATATATATATGTACATGCAGTATATATATATGTACATGCGTATATATATATGTACATGCAATATAGATATATACATGCAGGATATATATATTATGCAATCTATATATATGCACTATATATATATATATATATATATATATATATATATATATATATATATATATATATATAGATATATGCAGTATTATATATATACATCAGTATCATAGATATACCATTGCAGTATAAATATATACATGCAGTATATATATATAATAATAAATATTTATGCATATATCTTATATATATTCATGCAGTATATCTATATATATACATGCGGTATATCTATATATATACATGCAGTATATCTATTTATATCACATGCAGTAGATCTATATATATACATGCAGTATATCTATGATATATACATTCAGTATATATATATACATGCTATAAATATATACTGCAGTATATATAATATATACATATTTATGCAGTATATCTATATCTATTTCATGCAGTATACTATATATATACATGAGTTATCTATAATAATACATGCAGTATATCTATTTATATACATGCAGTATATCTATTATATAATACATGCAGTAATATATATATATGTACATGCAGTATATATATTATATGTACATCAGTATATATATATGTACATTGCGAATATAATATAATGTAACATGCAGAATATCACTATATGTACATGCAGAATATATATATATGTACATGCAGAATATATTATATGTACTCAGCAAAAAAAATATATATATATGGTACATCAGAATATTATAGAGTTACTGCAGAATATATATATATGTACATGCGAATATATATATATGTACATGCAGAATATATATATATGTACATGCAGTATATATTGATTACATGCACTGTATATATATATGTACATGCGTATATATATATATGTACATGCAGAATATATATATATGTACATGCAGTATATATATATATATGTACATGCAATATATATATACATGCAGGATATATATATATGCAATATATATATATGCACTAAATATATATATATATATATATATGTACATGCAGTATATATATATGTACATGCAGTATATATATATGTACATGCAGTTTATATATATGTACATGCAGTTTATATATATGTACATGCAGTTTATATATATGTACATGCAGTATATATATATGCACTAAATAATATATATATATATATATATATATATATATATATATATATATATATATATATATATATATGCAGTATATATATATACATGCAGTATATATATATACATGCAGTATAAATATATACATGCAGTATATATATATATAAATATTTATGCAGTATATCTATATATATTCATGCAGTATATCTATATATATACATGCAGTATATCTATATATATACATGCAGTATATCTATTTATATACATGCAGTATATCTATATATATACATGCAGTATATCTATATATATACATTCAGTATGTCTATATATATACATGCAGTATATCTATATATATACATGCAGTATATCTATATATATACATGCAGTATTTCTATATATATATATACATGCAGTATATCTATATATATACATGCAGTATATCTATATATATACATGCAGTATATCTATATATATAGTATATATAGATACATGCAGTATATCTATATATATACATGCAGTATATCTATATATATACATGTAGTATATCTATATATATACATGCAGTATATCTATATATATACATGCAGTATATCTATATATATACATGCAGTATATCTATATATATATACATGCAGTATATCTATATATATACATGCAGTATATCTATATATATACATGCAGTATATCTATATATATACATGCAGTATATCTATATATATACATGCAGTATATCTATATATATACATGCAGTATATCTATATATATACATGCAGTATATCTATATATATACATGCAGTATATCTATATATATACATGCAGTATATCTATATATATACATGCAGTATATCTATATATATACATGCAGTATATCTATATATATACTTGCAGTATATCTATATGTATATATGCAGTATATGTATATATATGCAATACATATATGCAATGTATGTATATATGCAGTATATGTATATATATGCAATACATATATGCAATGTATATATATATGCAATGTATACATATATATGCAATGTATACATATATATGCAGTATATATATGTGCAATATATATAGATATATGCAATGTATATAGATATATGCAATGTATATAGATATATGCAATATATATAAATATATGCATTATATATATAAACATATATATATAAATACATTTTTATATTTTTATGTCCCCACTTATTTATGAGCCAAACCAGCATCTCCCTCCCCTCAGCCAATAACCACAAGGCTGTCTCATAGGTCATTGGCTGACGGGCATGAGGTGCTATTCCAGCTTTCCGTTTAATCACATGCCACTGGGGAATAATGATTAAAAAATGAGAATGCTGTACTCATTTTTTATATTTTTGTGAAATGTCTCGGCACTTCGATGGCTCTGCTAATGCTTGTGAACTGACCTAATTTCACCTTTACTTAAATTGGCAGGAAAATGTATTTTTTAGTAGTGTTTTGAATATTGATGGTGTTATTTTTATTATAAACATAATTACTATAATGTTATAAACATTAGTAACAAAATTAGATAACGTAAAATATTTTTGTAAATCAAGGAAAAGGGTAAACGGGCGAGACAGGCAGTACTCATAATGGGCTCATTGGTGACTTACTACAAGTGTAGCCATCTATGTGTAAAAACAATTAAACAAGTAAACTTGCAGTGGACATAACATGTATGTAGAAGACATACCCGTCGGCAAGAGGTTAAGTTGTCCAAAGTATCTCAGAATATGAGTGTTTGTCTTAGAGTGGTGAAATCAATTTGGATGCTATTGCCAGTTGTCACTTATTTCCTGAACTGGTCATTTATGAATGTAAACAGATTCCTGTATGTTACACTTCGAATAAATGAAACAGAAAAGAAAGTTGCAAGGTTGGATGGCAGTGTGAAACCAAAAATTATCCAGAATAGTTATATGGTATAAGGTAAACTTAGACAGTAATTGGCTGAACAAAATTTGAGACACTTCATGTATGACATTTCCTTTGTAATTCCAGGCATGATAGTGAAATAAAGATACAGGATGATTATTACAAGAACAGTTACCATCCTACATACTGCAGTGCATTGGAAGTATCATTTCTATTCTCTTGTTTGGTTTGCTTTACTTTTCTGGGTCATCTAGGGAGTATATTTGTTTTCTGAACTACTCATATCATTGTAATAAATTTACAGTAAGAATTACATGTGTCTTATAACAAGTTTTAAATTCCCATCATTCCAACATTTTTACAGTGTATACCATTGAGCATTTGGCCTGTAAGTTGTGGTAGAGGAATGAAAAATGTATCTATTGTAGTGCTAAAATTCCCATCAATAACACTTTTACAGGACAATGAAGAATGGCCAACAAGTAGTTTTTCATCTTCCCAGCTGGTTGTGCTCTGTTTTGTTTAAGTGACTTTCATTTTACTGCATTATTCATATTTCTGAATAAGAATTTAACTGATATTTCTTCTATTATAACTATTTTGAAAATCCATTTCTCAAATATTTTGCAATTGTAGACAACCATTGAACAATTGTCTTACACACCATATTTTCAAAATGAGAACTAGAATATCTATTACATTGTGATCATTTTGAAGTCTTTCTCTTTAACACCAAATACATTTTACAGTACAACAGAGTACGGCCAATGAATGTGGTTTCATCTTCTCTGCTGGCCATTCATGGTTTGGTTTACTAGACTTTCTAGGTCTTGTGAGTATATATTTGTTTTACTGAAATATTCATTTGAATGAATAAGTAGTAAGAACGACATAATTTCTCTAACTTTTTAAAACCCATTAGTCTAATATTGTTATATTGTACTTTTGTCTTAGATGCCATATTTTTGGAATAAAGAACTTGATATCTATTATAAATCAATCATTCACACCAATTAAATTCTACAGAGCAACAAAAAACAGTCAACATACATGATTCCATCTTCCCAGCTGGCTGTGCTTTGTTAGGTTTAGTTGACCTAAAGTGTCTGGTTGTGAGTATATATTTGTTTTGCTTGAATTATTCATGGTACTAAATAATAAAAATAAAAACATGTATTCTATTACTAGTCTAAAAACCCAATATTTAGATGTCTTTACTTTGCAGGCTACACTGTAGAGCAGGAGTCTTATATGCTGGTTTTTTTTTATTGAATTGCATATTAACCCATGTCATGTATCCGTGACATGCCCACTGAGTTTATTTGTTTAATTGTTTTCACTCATAGATGGCTACACATGTACTAAATCACCAGTGAGCCAGTTACAAGTACTGCCTGTCTCGCCCGTTTACCCTTCTCTTTAATTAAAGAAAATATTTTGTTATCTTATTTTGCTCTTACTATTGTTTATAACATTATAGTAATTGTGTTAATAATAAAAATAACTCCATTGATATTCATAGAACTAGTAAAATATACATTTTCCCACCATTTCAAGGAAAGTTGAAATCAGGTAAGGCAGAGCCATCTATGTGTAGAGACATTTCTCAAATATATAAAAAATGAGCACAGCATTTTCCCTTTTATTTTTTTCTTCTTTTCTTCTTTTTCCCCGCCGCAAATGGGTTAACTGAATAGCAATATTTTTAAAATCTTTGTCATTCACACTTAATAACTTTTATCGAGTAACATGTTTTTTTTTGTAATTTGTGTGAATTTCCGGGTCTTCTAGTGAGTACATATTGCTTTACTGGCTTATTCATATTACAAGATGAACAGTAAGAGTAACATGTATTCTTTAAGTAATTTTAAAATCCCTTTATTCATTGTTTACATTGTTTGCAAGATAGGATGCCTAAGTTGCCCTTTATCTATATATATAGATAGATAGATATAGATACATATATATACACATATATACATTCACATATACATTCATATATATATATATATATATATATATATATATATATACACATATATATACATGTATATATTTTCATATATATAAATATGAATATGTGTATATACATATACAGATAGTCCCCTACTTAAGAACATTCTACTTATGAACATTCCATACATACAAACAAATATTTTTAAGTACTAAAGTCCAAAAAATTGTTTGAAAAATGCAAACAAACTTCAAATTTCCCGGGCGCGAATAAAGTTCAAGAGTCTGGTACTGTATAAGGTATGTCGTAGTTATTGGGATTTATTTACAGGTATTCTTAATGTAAACAAAACTTTAAAACAATGGGAAAAAAGGTAATGGAGACCCAACTTTCAACATACAAACAAATCAACTTACAAACAGCCTCTTGTTTCCCATTATGTTCTTAAGTTGGGGACTTACTGTATATTCATATATAGATATAAATATATGCATATACATATATTATATACATATATATATATATATACATATATATTTATATATATACATATATATTTATATATATACATATAAATATATATGTATACATATAAATATATATGTATATATATATTTATATATATATGTATACATATATATTTATATATATATATATATATATATATATTTATATATATGAATCATATCTATTGTAATGTTATCATTCACAGCAATGAAATTTTACAGATCAGTGAACAGCCAATATATATGGTTTCATTTTCCCAGCTGGTTGTGCTTTGTTCTCGTCACTTGACAGTCTGGGTTTCCCTGTGAGTATAATACATATTTGTTTTACTAGATTATTCTTACAACTAAGTATTTTAATATCCTATTTTCGGATGGACACTATTTCCATACCCAGGATCCTATACCTGCCCACCTTGACTGACGCTGTAAGGTGTTTTACAGAAGATTGAATAATATGAAAATATAAAAAAGGACACAAATAACACTGTTACTCATTATTGTTGCTAATTTTCACAGTTTTAGATTACCATGAGTGATGATATGGAGTCTGATCAAGGAAAATAGTCTATTACCATCAGAGATACAGCATAACAAATAACAAATAAATATAAACATTGGAAAGTGCTAAGCACTTGTAGAGCAATTCATGTGTAAAAACAATATAACCTAACCTACAATGTGCATGGCAGGTATGTATATGCCATCCTAAGCAGCAGTAGGTTAAAGATGATATAAAAAAGAAAACCAAGTTTTGTGATGCCAAGAACTCGGGCAGTTGATTGTTGCCACATTGCAAATGTGTATATATATAAATATATATATATATATATACTGACATATAGACATAAATATATATATATATACATATATATCTATATATATATATATCTATTTATATGTATATGTATATACACACATATATATACATATACATATACATATATATATATACATATACATATATATATACATATACATATATATATACATATACATATATATTTACATTTATATACATATATATGTATATTTATTATAAATATTATATGTATATATTTATATGTTTTACAATTATAGACATACACATGTATATATGTATCTGTGTGTGCGTGCGTCTGTGTGTGTGTACTTACACAGATGTTACACAAAGTTTTGTTTACATTAATATTATTCGATGGTCATTTATACAACTTTAAATGTAGAAACATAATTTATTTTAAAAATATATTTATTGTAGTGGCGACTGGCTGGCGAACCGAATGATAAGATCCATAAAGTTATAGCCTGATGTTTCTTGGCAATTCCACTGGCTTCACCGTTTATCTTTCTCTTCACACCCGACATTTTTAATGGATTGATGCACAGGTAAAGCGAATTATGTGAACTATATTCGCGCCCTGGAAATTTGAAGGTTGCTAGCATCTTTCAAACAATTTTTTGGACTTTAGTACTTAAAAAATTTTGTTTGTATGTACGGAATGTGCGTAAGTAGAATGTTCTTAAGTAGGGGACTATCTGTATATATATATATTTATATATGTATGTATTTAGTATGTACATATATATACATATGTATATGCATATATTCAAATATATATATATATATATATATATATATATATATATATATATATATATATATATATATATGTAAACATGTACATGCATATACATATTTGAATATATGTATTATGTATAAATTTGTAATATATATACATTTACGTATGTACATATATATACACATATGTACATATGTATTCATTTACGTATATACATATATAAATGTATGTAATATATATACATATACATATATAATTTTTATATGTATATATGCATGAATATATACAAATATATATACATATATACATGTATATGCATATATACACATATATTTGTGTATTTTCATATCACATTTATATAGGTATATATATACACATATATAAGCATATATATACAAATATATGTGTATATATATACATATATATGTATATACATATATTAATGTATACACATATACATATTTATGTATATATACAAATGTAAATACATATACATATATATACATATATATACATATATAAACACACATACATATATTAATACATATAGATACATATATATATATGTATTTATATATATATACACATATGAAATTACATATACATATAAATACATATATGCATATATGTACATGTATACATAAGTGTATATATATGTATTGTATTTGTATATATATATGCATATATATGTATGGTTATATATGTTTATATGTAGGGTTATATATGTTTATATGTATGTTTATATATGCATATATATATATATGTATGTGTATGTGTGTGTGTGTGTGTGTGTGTGTGTATGTGTGTATTTGTATGTATATATATATATATATATATATATATATATATATATATATATATATATATATATAAATATATATATACCTATATCTGTATGTATATATGTAAACAATACATAGCAAGACTGGATGGTACACTTCACATATGTGTTGCCAGCTGCTGCCTTTCTTCCTTGGGTGGATGCAAGTGCCTACCCGGCTAACTCTTTTTGCATGGATGTAAGAATCAGCCCTCGAAGGGAGCTGCTGCATTAAAGGATACATTTGTCAGACAGAGAGAGAAAGACACAGCAGACAGGCCAAGTCACACAGGGTCCAGTTCCACCACCTCATTCTCGAGCTTGACCCTGGGGGACATGGGATGTCTTTTCAGGTCTCACATCTACCTTCATCAATAAACCAGCAAGCTAAGACCCCTTTCATTGACCCACCACAAGTCCATCTCTCATGTCGCTCAAAATATACATGTGTGTGTGCATATATGTGTATGTATGTATATTTTATATTTATATATATAGATAGATTGTTATAGATATATACATATATATGTATATATATGAATCTATGTGTATATATTTTTGTGTATGTTTATGTATGGGTATATATAATGCATATATACAAGCATATATGTGTGTATATATGTATATATAAATGTATGTATATGTATATATAAAAGTATGTATATGGATATATACATATATATGCATAAGAATACATATACATGCTTATGTATAAATAAATGTATGTATATGTATATATAAAAGTATGTATATGTATATATAAAAGTATTTATACTGTCTCTCTCCCGTATTCTATGTCATATATAACCGTCTTCTCTGTCTCCTAGATCTCTCATGCATAAGAATACATATACAGACTTATGTATATATGTATGCATATGTACATATATGTCTATAATACCGATGATATATAGGAGTTATCTTATATATATATATATTTTACATTACTATTATATATACTAATAAATATTTATTTCTATATATATACTAATATATATATATCTATAATATCTATATATATATCTTCCTCCTCGATATATCTGATCTATATATCTATATTATATATTTCTAATATGTTCTATATTCTCTATATCTTCTTCTCTCTCTCTCTACCTCATCTCTCTCGTCCCTTCGCTCTCTCTCATCTCTCTCTCTCTCTCTCTCTATCTCTCTCTCTCTCGCTCCTCTCTCTCCTCCTCTCCCCGCTCTCTCTCTCTCTCCTCTCTCTCTCTCTCTCCTATCGTCTCCTTTCTCTCTCTCTCGTCTACTCTCTCTCTCTCTCTGCTCTCTCTCTCTCCTGTCTCTCTCTTCTCCCTCATCCTCTCATCGCTCTCTCTCTCTCTCTCCTCTCTCTCTCTCCTGCTCTACTCTCCCTCTCTCTCTCTCTCCTCTCTCTCCCTCTCTCTTCCTGGTCTCTATCTCCTCTCTCTCTCTCCCTTCTCTCTATCTCCTCTCTCTCTCCTGTCTTCTCTCTCTCCGCTCTCTCTCTCTTCTCTCTCTCCTCTCTCTCTCTCTCTCATCTCCCTCCATCGCTCTCTTCTCTCTCTCTCTCTCTCTCCTCTCTCTATCTCTCCTGTCCTTCTCTCTCTCCCCTTCGATCTCTCTCTCGTCTATACTCGATCTCCTCTCATCTCGCTCTCTCTCTGTCCCTCGCTCTCTCTCTCGCCTCTCTCTCTCTCTCTCTCTCTCTCGCTCTGCTTATCTCTCTCTCTCTCTCTCTCTCTCTCTCCTCTCTCTCTCTCTCTCTCTCTCTCTCTCTCTCCTCCTCTCTCTCATCTCTCTCTCTTCTCCCTCCTCTCTCTCTCTCTCTCTCTCTCTCTCTCTCGCTCTCCTGCTCTCTCTCTCTCTCCTGTTCTCTCCGTCTCTACTCTCTCTCTATCTCTCTTCTCTCCTAATCTATCTCCTCTCTCCTCCTGTCTCTCTCTCTCTTCTCCTCTACTCCTCTCTCTCTCTCTGTCTCTCTCTACTCTCTCTCCTCGTCTCTCTCTCTCTCTCTCTCTCCTCTCTCATCCTCTCATCTCTCCCTTCGCTCTCTCTCTCTCGCCTCTCTCTCTCTCTCTATCTCTCTCTCTCCCTTCGCTCTCTCTTCTCTCTCTCTCTCTCTCTCTCTCTCTCTCTCATCATCTCTCTCTCCTCTCTCTCTCTCTCCTCTCTCTCCTCTCCTCTCTCTCTCTCTCCTCTCTCTCTCTCTCTCTCTCTCTCTCTCTCATCTCTCTCTCCTGCGCTATCTCTCTCTCCTCTCTCTCTCTCTCCCTCTCTCTCTCTCTCTCCTTTCTCGTCTCTCTCTCCTCTCCTCCTTCTCTCTCTCTCTCTCCTCTCTCTCTCTCTCTCTCTCTCCTCCTGTATCTCTCTCTCTCTCTCTCTACTCTCTCTATCTTCTACTCCCCTTCGCTACTCTTCTCTCTCTTCTTACATCTCGCCCTTCTCTCTCTCGCTCTATCTCTCTTCTCTCTCTCCCTTCGCCTCTCTCTCTCTCTCTCTTCAGTCTCTCTTCTCTCTCTCCTCTCTCTCTATCTCTCCCTTCGCTCTCTCTCTCCTCTTCTTCTCTCATCTCTCTCCCTTCCTCGGTCTCTCTCCTTCTCTTATCTACATACTCTCTCTCTCTCTCTCCCTGCGCTCTCTCTCTCTCTCTCTCTCTCGTCATCTCTCTCTCCTTCTGTCTCCTTCGCTCTCTCTCTCTCTCTCTCTCTCTCCTCGCTCTCTCTCTCTCTCTCTCTCTCTCCCTTCCGCTCTCTCCTCATCTCTCTCTCTCATCTCTCTCCTCTCCTCCCTTCGCTCTCTCTCCTCTCTCTCCTTCTCTCTCTCTCTCCTCTCTCCGTTCGCCATTCTCTCTCTCTCTTCTCTCTCTCTCTCTCTCTCCTCCTTCTCTCTCTCTCTCTCTCTCCTCCTGTCTCTCTCTCTCTTCCTCTCCTCCTCTCGTCTCCGCTCTCTCTCTCTCCTCCCTCTTCGCCCTCTCTCTCTCTTCTCGCTCTCTCTCTCATCTCTCTCTCTTCTCTTCTCGTCATCTCATCTCTCTCTCTCTCTCTCTCTGCTCGCTATCCTCTCTCTTCCCTCCACCCTATTTTCCTTTCTCTCTCTCTCTCTCCCTGTCCCTCTCTCTCACTCTCTCGCGCTTCCCCCTCTCTCGTCCCTCGTCTCGCCCTCTCTGTCCCTGCCTCCCTCTCTCCCCGTCTTTCTCTGCTCTTCTTCTGCCTCTCTCCTCTCCATTCTCCCCTCCCTCCTTTTCTCTCTCCTCTCCTCCTTTCTCTCTCCCTCTCCCTCCTTTTCTCTCTCCATCTCCCTCCTTTTCTCTCTCCCTCATCCCTCCCTTCTTCTTTCTACCCTCCCTGTCTCTGTCTTCTTCTGTCCTCTCCCTTCTCTCTCCCTCTCCCTCGCTTTTCTC